CAAATTTCCTTTGTAATTCCTTTTTTTGGGGGGGGTGGGGGGGGCGGGAATAATTTGGAAGTCTGATAGTGTGTGGGAAATGATTACATCAGTCGGAGGGAGGGCTAGGATTGGTCTACACAGTGTGGTTTGATTCACTACCGCAAAGATTGCGTGTAACCCTTTGAGTGGAGCTCTGGCAGAGTTGTTTCCCTCCCCAGAAACAGTCCCCATAGCAGGGGCTACGTGACAGGTACGGTACCGCCGTCCGCTGACACCGCCGGCACCCCGGGCGCCCAGCCATAGGCTACAAAGGGTGGGCAGAGGCAGAGAACAAACTCTCTCTCAAGAGGCAATCCCTATTTAAAATGCCATCTTGTTCTTCCGACTGCTGCCTTTTACGTGCCGTTGAGGTAAGATTTTCCGTATCAAATTACCCTCCGGGTTTTTGTGAGATTCGCCTTCTCTCGCTAGGATGCGGGGCGTTTTAAACACGGAGTTGATTTAAATCTCGGACCTGCACGTTTGCCCGGAGAAATAATTTTGCGGCAAGTGTCTCCCGCTTGAGCAGAACAATGCAAAGAGGAAAGCATCTGTATAATTCAGGAGGTGGGGAGAAGGTTCCTGACTTGTTCTCTCATCTCCATTAATATTTAGGATGTGCAGCGTATGCGCGTTCGGTTTCGAACTACTTTCAAGCTAGGATCAGAAGAGGAGTCGGGGCAGGGAGAGAAATGTGTGGACTGTGCTAGCTAATTGATCTGCCGGCGAACTGCAAGCGGGACTTCCCCGAGCGAAACGATCAAAAGTTAGTGGGGAACAAGAGAGCCATTTTTAATCTTCGGGGTCTTGGCCTGCTCCTCTGTAAATGTTCGGAGGCCTCCGGCGGGGTCGCAAAGAAAATTGAGCGTGTTTGGATGCAATTTCTCTCGCCCACCCTTGCCGAAGTACTCTATTGATACTGTTTCACGTTTGCTTACCTTACGCAGCTTTATACAGAACCTGCTCTCTCGCTTTCTCTGTGTGTGTGTTAAAATTTGTTTAGTGCAGGGAGGTGTTGGGGAGGGGGGAGGGGAAATAGGGCAAGGGGGCATCAAGAGAAAGTGTTACAAAGTGAATCATCCATGTCATTTGTCCTGGCTGCCAAGGTGCTTGGAACCCTCACGCCGAGAGGATGCTTTTCTACGGTAGCTGTGTGGTTTGCCTATGTTCGGAGCTGTTGATCTGTAAGTGTACCCTTTATGTTGCAGGATGTAAAAGTCTTTAGTGAAGATGGAACAAGCAAGGTGGTCGAGATTCTAGCAGACATGACAGCCAGGGACCTCTGTCAGCTGCTCGTTTACAAAAGTCATTGTGTGGATGATAACAGCTGGACTCTAGTGGAGCATCACCCTCACCTAGGATTAGGTAGGGAACGGTCAAAGGGGTGGCATGGTTACCTGGGAACATAAAACATGTGTAATTCGTATTAATGTGCTTCCAGCCGGAACGTTTTCTTTCCACTGCTTTTATTTGTACAATTAGCTGAAGTCACATACGTGCTTTTTGTGTGTTACAATTTGATGTGTTAAGCGTTTAAGCCATTTTAAGTCCTTCTCTTATTTCCCATCCTCTGTTTTTTATTACGAAAAAGAAAAATAATTGTCTAATCTTCGCGCTAGCGCTCTGTTGCTACCTTGCTGTGTCTGAAGCTATTGTAAATAAACAGCTTAGGCAAATTAAGCTTGATCCTTAGAGTACTGGTCCTGTGAAACAGCTCAGCTCATCACCAGCTGGGAGACCTGGGTGAACAGACTCAGCTTTGCATACCTACAGTAATGCTTAGGAAAGCTAGACATGCTGAGGTGGGGGAGGGGGTCGGCCAAACTTGACTTCAGGCAGGGAAAAAATGGTGGCACCACCCGCAAATCCATGGGCAATTTCTGGACCAGCAGTGGCATCTGCTCTCCAGGCAGCAGCTCCTCCACCTGACTGAAATTGAGGTGTCATGGTTACAGTTTCAAGAAGGCAGCAAGAGGAAGAACTGTGGGGAATTAAATAACACCGTGAATTGGTTTAATTACAGTACCTGAAAGAATCTCATGTTATTCAGTCTTGCTTTTCCTGTTATTTTGTGGCACTGATTAGTTGCAGGGTTCTGCTGTGCAGCTAGAGACTGCATATCGCTCAGATAGGCTCTCTATAATTCTACCTAGCATGCAATAACACTTTAGAAAGTGTAGCATTTGGAGTATTAGTCGATACACTTAACGGGGAATTTTTTCTAGAAAATAGAGGAAGACAAATCATAAGCTGCCATCACCGGCACTGGAATTGTGAATGCTATCTGTAGCTCACAGAGGTTTTTTATGTCTAAAAATGTAATTCAGAACGCTTACAAATAAAAAAAGGAAACGGTTTGCTGGAGATGCAATGCCCTAAACCGATACTGTTGAACGCAGATAAATTCACTGCTCTACAGAACAGCACTCCAAAAAAAAACCCAACGTAGGATATCCTGATTATTTAATGGTTTTATTGGGTATCTCTCCTAATATAGAAATATGTGAAAAAATGAACATGAAACACTCGTTTGTATATGTCTGTGATATACTTTCAGTTCTGAGGACATAGGACAAGGTGAAGAATTAAGGTATGAATTACAGAATCTTTATCTCCGTAGCTTAATATGCCACATGGGCGCTTCTAACAACCTTTACAAATTTTCAGTTTCATCAATGCTCATTAAACTACCAGGCTTTCTTTTTCTATATTCTCTTTCCCATCATTGCTGATTACCAAGGTATTGTGTAAACAGAAGCCTTCTCCTTTGTAACCAACATCCTTCTCCTGCCAGATTCATTCAATGATGCCACAATTCAGTGTTTGTGACATCACAATAGCTTCCATGGTGACTAATTGTGCTGTCAAACTCTGGTGTGTGACATCTCTGAATGAATCGGGCAGGAGGCTGATTAGGAAATCAAAAGCTTCTGTTTACACACAAATAACTTGGTAATTAACAATGATGGGAAAAGAGCAAGATACTTATCGGGCTGCATTTATATACATGGGGACCTGCCTGCCTTGGACCTCTGTTTCACACTGAAGCACAAAGCGGGGCCTGAAACGGGGTGTGCAGGTTGGGGGCTTCAGCAGCCGCCAAACTTTGTTCCGCAGGGACCGCTCCAGGGCTGTCCTCTGTAGGCCACGCAGTAGATCTGCGTGAAAAGTAATGCAGCCTTCAAGGGCGTAAAGCGAACAGACCAAAAAAAAAAGTATTTAAAGCTTCAAAAAAGATGTAGTGATACAGATTTCACATATTTGAAAGGATGTGGACAGAAGAGGGAATAAAAGAGTTCGTTTAACGGGAGACAGCAACATCTAATTTCTTGTATTTGGGGACCAAAGTATACATGGTGACGTATTCCATAACCTTTAAATACAAACTTTCATGCGTCCACCCAGATTTGGCTGCAGTTTGAATTTTTTGTTATACGGATGCTTATTTCTAGCTTCTCAGTAGCTTAAATGCTCCCCTGAATTTCAGAGACTGTCAGTTCAAGGTAGTAATCTGCCTCCACCTTAGGTGAGTTACAGTCAGGTGTCTGATGTTCCATATTTTTCCCCTCTAGAAATAAGATTGCTTACAGTACATCCAATGTAGTATGAAACAATGGCGAATAGATACTCAGCAGTGTGGAAAGAAATACGGTTTAAGAGCAGTGAGAATTCTGTGTTTCCAGAAGACATTATTTCTTACTCGAGACATCCTTGCTGACTTAATGCTGTAGGTGGTCACCTTGAAGCCCACCAGAAAAGGAGAGTTCCTTTATTAAGTTCACTATCTTTTTTTTCCTCCTGATCTTGCCTAATACTACTTTCCAAAAGAGCTCAGTTTGCAGAACCAGTTCATCTTTTTACTGTTGGGCAAACTGAGGACAAGACCAAATTTTTTAAGTCAGCTGCATGTTTATCCCTATGGTGGTCTTCTAGGTCCCAGTTTTTAAGGAACCTTCACCTGACTGCTTACTTTGCACGCGTAGTCAAGTGTATTCCAAATAACACGCGTGCCTGCAAATAACTTCAAACAGTTATTGGACTGCACAAAGTATTTGTGTTCTCTCTGGAGGCAATGGTGTGACAATTTATCATCGGACTTGCTTAGATTTAACATGTGGAAATGGTTCCTGCCGCACCGTACCACTAGTATCTAAAACACTTTGTGGTCAAGATTTAAGCAGTCTGTGAAACTCGAATTGGTCCCATTATTTTGTTTGCAACTAGAAATACACCTAACCTGTTCATAAAATGTGGTGTTCTCCCATGCTTAACTATCATCAGTTGAGGACGGGGACTGAGATATCCATATTGGACATTAACAGAAATAATAATAATAATAATAATGGAGACAGAATGTCCTGATAGCATGTGTTATCACACTGAAAGAATCCCTACTTACAAAGCTCATTTTTCCAGCTCCAGAATTGACTGTCCATCTTATTTAATATAGTTGAAGCAGGAAAGAAAAGTAGTAGGACTCTGAAATACATGTAGGGTTAGAAGAAAGAATCGCTGCGTAGTTTCGTACATAGATTTTCTTGTTTACGTGTGCATTGAATTTGATTTGCCTTAATCTGAACGAATTAAAAGTGGAACAGTTAGACACAGTGCTTGCTAAAATACGAAAACAGGGCGGACTATTTCACACTTTGGTCCACCTGTCATTTGTAGTGATTCTCTAATTGGGAATTAATGGGCCATGCCCGCGAGTTGTTCATGATGGAATTCAGCTCCTTTTTCCACCTTGTATCAGTTCTGCAGTTCTGTATAAGTTTAGATAGTGATACAGGGCAATTTTGGAGGGGGAAAAAAGTCTGTCCTGTTCTTCTAGGAAGTGTGTAGAGGAGACTGAGTTGAGCCTATCAAGATAAACAAAAAGGAGACATTTCTGGTCACTTCAGCAGCAATACCACTTGAAGACAGTCTGACCTATTGAACTTAATAGACTGACATCTGTGCTTCTCGTTTTGTAGCAAGAAGCTCAAAGCAGGGCTGAGGTTGAGTTGCTGGTGTGTCAAGTGGCAGTTCATCCCATTTGTATGAACCGAGTGCAAATTACCAAGGACTTTGCAAGTGTACAACTTCTATGAATTAGTAGCAAACTGACCAGGACTAGCTTCCTTTTTACATGCATGTGCTATGAAATGCTGCACCTTTTCCTCAAGATGGCTTTCACCATCAAAATGAAAATGTAAACATTAAATCAGTGGGAGTATCACCACAGAATCTCAAGGGTCTTGATTTGGTAAAGAAATACATCTAGGTCAGTTGCCTAAAGCATCTTAGAAACAGTCACTGGGTATATTTACACAAACTAACGATCAAAATACAAAACAAATTGGCAGATGTTCATCTATACTGCATTTGCTCAGGACAGACTCAACAGGACGTGGTTTGTCCCTGCCCTTAGGCGAGCAATCTTCAGCGCGTTAGGAAAGGGAAGACCACAACTTTGTGCGAGGACAGAAGCAGGCAGCAGCAGGACACGTGGTCTTTCAGGGTTGATACTGTGATGAAGATTCATATCAACATAATTAAATGTTTTTTGGAGGAAGCGTAATTTAAGAAACGGAAAGGCCCTCCATCCTCATGGGCCCGCCGTCCTCATCACAGTCCGGAGGAGATTTGACTTAACCGGCTGCCTGAAGCCGTGGCAGTAGCAATAGATCAGCAGCAATACTTCACCTGTGAAGCCCCTAGATAATGTGGAGGTTTAGGTGATGAATGCTCAGGTGGTGCAACATGTCCTTAATTAACTGATATCAACGGCAGTATTGCAGCAGACATTAGTGGAAGAACTACCCCTTAAAAGCGGTGTTATGGCTAATGCACTAAGAAGCAGCTCTTTATGTGAGAGCGGCCCAGTATGGAAAATCTTGTGTTAGCCCTTGAAACACAATCTATAGCAAGGCTGGACATTGGAAATGCACGGTAAATGCTGAAGTCATCAATGAGCTGGTGATGACTGACAGTCTAAATGCAGGTGAAAAAGACAATGGGATCGTTCAGAGATAGGTTAAATTTTCAATCAAAGAACTTACATTAATCTGCTAAGTTGAATAATTCAAGTGACATTCAAGAGCTTGCTGCTTTTTGAGATACCAATGACTGCTTGCTTTCTGTCCTGAAAACACCCCAAGAGAACTTGGGTGGCAGCCTGGCATTTATAACTGTGGGAATGCGAGGATGTAGGAAAACAACGTGGGGAAGGGACTCTCCAAACTTCTTTGGCCAGCAGGTCACGCATTTTGGATAGAGCTTTGTGAAAGTTATTTTTTGTTTGACCTCATTTTTTATTTCCTATTATGTAAGGGATGAAAGTACTGACTATTAAGATTTTTGAAAAATACCTAAATATTTTCTCGGAAACTTTTGAAGATTTGCCAAGATAATGAGTTCATTAAGTAGTGCACATTTAGCCCAGTTGCCTTCTTTCGAGTTACTGCTTTCAGTGAATTGGATTTGTTAAGCTATCTGTTCGTGCTTTGATGTGCCATTCTTTTGACCAGAGAAGTGGTGGTTATGGGGAGTTACCTTGTAACCAAATCTAGAGCAGAAAATTGCCCTGTCATGTGTACAAAACATTTGTCTCTGTCAGTATTCCTGTAAAGTAGATCCTGTGACCTCTTTCATAATAAACCCCATTGTCTAGCATCTACAATAAAGGCCTGAAGTTCACCTTGAAATGAACTGGTTTTATAGAGTGTGATCAAATGGGACACTATTTCTGTGAGAGTTCAAGGCCTGACGGTGGCCTTTCCGCAACTTTTTTCCCCTTAAATCCATCCACCTTGCCAGTTCCACAGCATATAGCCAGCACCGAAAGAAGAGGTTCGTGTGTATTGTTTAAGCTGCCGCACACAAAAAAATCTTCTGTTCTTTCTTTTCTCAAAAGTCTGTGCTTATGAAGCCCTGATGTAGGAAATCTTTGAAGAACACTGCCATGTAACATTAAACTTTGTAATACTTACACCCTAGTTCCTTGAAATGCCTGATGGCAGTATGGTTTGAAAGCTGTAATATGTTTTCTTAACTTCTTAAAGGGTAATGGAATTACACTGGGTTGTTGTACTCCTGTACTTTGGAAGTTGGTCTCACTGCTTCTGCTGGTTAGCTGTGTGTTAACATCGTGTTCTTTTTCCACAGAGAGGTGCTTGGAAGATCATGAGCTTATAGTTCAAGTCGAGTCTACAATGGGAAGTGAAAGTAAATTTTTGTTCAGGAAGAATTACGCAAAATACGAATTTTTCAAAAATCCCATGGTGAGTCTCATTACTTAGTTGCTTACACCACAGAGAGAGGGATGGATTGCAGTAACATTGCTGGGCACTGTTATGTCTTAAACATCTATTTAAAAAAAAGCAACCAACAAACAGAATTCTTTCCAAAGAAATTTTAACCAATGTTTAAATTCCTTGTACTCTCCTGCCAGCCTAAAAACCTCAAGTGTTTTCAAGTTACCAAATATACTTGTTTCAAAATGGCTACTGTTATGTTGGAGAGCAACCAAGACAAGGGGAATCTTCATTGGTTTAAGAAAAACAATTAGAAGTGCAATTTATTCATTATCTTCAAAGTTACTTGTTTCGAAGCAAGTTGATCGCATAGCATGCAGTATCCAAACCTTTCTGACAGTAATAATTTAAAAAAACCCAACCTTCTGGGTAACCCCTAAAACACTTACTACATTCAAGGAATTTCCAGTTTATCTTTACATATGTTGAACAGTGTCTCACCTATGGCTGTACTTTACTAGCGTGCTCTGCCTTCTTTACTGATCATAGTAACTCGCCCTCTCTATGTCCTCACGTATATATCCATGCTTGAAAAGTATTGTATGTCATAGCTATACTTTTCCTGGATTTGTAAGATCCTTTGAATGTTGTCATTTTAAACTGTTTGCAGTGTAACTGCTTATTTGGGGACGATTTTTCACATTTTATCTAAACAATTAAGTTGGAACGGACTATTGACATGAACCGATGTCAGCTGGTGCGACCCATCTAGATAGCTGAAGAAGGGTAATCCAGAGGTGGTTTAGGTGCGAACAGATTTTGGGTGAGTCGGGCATTTGTGGTGCCAGAAGAAAAAAGATACATGAGGTCACGTGAAAACTGATTGCTGAAGTTACTGCGGATGATAAATTCATTCCTTTCCTCATAGACACTAATGCACAGTTGCTGCATCCTCGCACGTGTGCTTGTACGTACATTTGTCATCTGCTAGCACTTGTTTCAGAGCCTGTGTGCCTTGACTTACTGTGTGAAACATTTCTGTACATGGAGTGTTTGTCATTTTTCACTTCTGTTGATCTTCCCATCTGATAACCTATGAACATCTGAGTGTTGTACAGAAATTTTGATATCATAGGAGCTAGCACATTGGTTTCATGTGGTATACTTTAATTAATAACAGAGCATGGGAGTAAAACCCAGAATGCTTGGCATTCGGTCCCAGGCTCCTGCAATCAGAGAATAAATCATTCTTTTAGTGTAAGAATGTGAAGGCTCCCTATCTATTGCATTAGCTGTTGCCATATGGCACTGTTTGTACTCGAGAGAGGCTGGTAAATGTTAGCTTTCATAATTCATTGTGCAACTTACCTGGCAGAAGGGTGATTCCTCTTCAGCCCTTCTCTTTATGCCCTAAAGACTGAAATTTATATTGCCTGAAGAGTGACGAATGTTCTAAACTGGAAGCGTTTTTGTTGTGATTCATCTTGTTATAATCAGTCATTGTTTTATTTCAGGCATTTCTGCATGTCTTCATGCTTCAAAGAATGTTTAAAAACTTCAAGAATGACTTAATGTAATTGCTGTGTATAGTAGATTCAGTGTACTGAATTACATAGGCATTTTAAAACACGGCAAATACAAAGGGGAACTGGAGGAATAAATCTGAAGTCAAGTCATCGATTTAGCAGTCAGAAAACTCTGACCTTTGTCATGCAAAGATCTGGTATGAATGAGATATTGTACTGGACGCCTGAAATCAAAAAGCTCTGTAGAAGCACCTGTTTGTGTGTTAAACAGTATTTGCTTCTGTGTTTGTGGGATGGGGGAAAGGAGGTAGATCTCTGCTTTGAGATTATTCAAATCTAGCACGTGAAGCAGGGCATGCGACCCAGAGCCTAATTATTGCACGTGTCCTCGTTCAGTTTTTATTATTTCATTTCATGGAATGTATGCTGACCTATCCTTACAAGAAAAAACAGTGGGCTCTGTTACGTTGCCCTGAAATATAAACATGTAGGGGTAGATTTTGCAAAGGGCTTTTTTCTTGACAGATTGAAGGGTTTGAAGCCCTGAGCGTAACATGGCTGTTGAACAACCAAATGAAAGCATCAACAGTCACACATGAGCTCTTTCTCATAATTAAGGCACTTCGTTTGGAGCCTTCTGAGGGACTGAGCAGGTTTTAGGGTCAAGCAGATAGAGCACTGAAGAACTGTATTTTGGAGAGAGAGAGAGAGAGTGCTATCGAAGGTAAAGGTGTACATACTGGAGATCCTGCAGCATCCCTGCCTGAGATGACTTCTAATGCATTTGCATCCAGCTTACCCCTGTGAGGGTAGCGAAAACTTGTTATTCCTCCTGCTCTGCATCTTCCACATGGCAAGCGGAGTTACAGAGAGTCTGTTCGCTGAACAGCCTTTCTGGGCGGAGAGGGAAGCCCAGAAATTTGGTGGCAGAATATGCAATATGCAAGGAGTCACTGTGTACCCAACCTGCAGGACCATTCATCCTGTCCTTTCCTAGAAAGTCGAGGCTGTTAGAGAGCCCTGAAAGCCCTCAGTAGAAGAGGAAGCGATGGGAAAATGCGCTTATGAAATGCTGCATATCAGATATTTAAAAAATCCATATTCTGTCTGCATGGGCGTTTGGTGAGCAGAAGAAAGGGAAGAACTGCACTTGAAAGCCCTAGTATTACTTTCTGTGTCAGGGGATCTCCGAACTGATTTAAGAGTGATAGTTTCAAAAAATTAATGACTGGAAGAAAATTCCACTTGTTCTATGTAAAAGTGTTCAAATATAATATGACTTCCAATTGTCTTCTCTTTTTGTGTCTAGAATTTCTTTCCAGAGCAAATGGTTGCCTGGTGCCAGCAAACAAATGGCAGTATCCCACAGTCCCAACTTCTGCAGGTACTGTAAGTTATCTGTATGCACAAAGAAAGTTTTGGAGCTTTGGGGGAGAGGTTGAGGGGAAGGAAAGGAGAATTCAAAGGTCCGGAAATAGCTGGTCAGAGAAAGACCAGTGTAGTGAGTTAGCATATGGTACTAATGTTGAAAATATCTGACAAAGATCTTAACCCTGTGGCACTGAGGTGTAAGTTATAAACACAAAGTATTCATAGCTGTGTTCATACATACTTGTTCCATTAACACTCAGTTTACTCTGTGGGTACCTGGTTTGGCCACCTAGCGTTGTTCCTAAAACAGTCTCAGCAGATATGTTTCTAGAAAAACAAATATACCTTATAAAAGGCAAAACAGAAGTACTCTTCTATACTCCACATCATAGCACAGAAGAAAGTGTAAAAATGCGTGTGTACATTAGAAGATGGGCTTGAGATGTGAGAGGTTTTGGTTTTGCTTTTGCTTTTTATGTCCCATGTTTGTGCCTGGTGAGAATTAACACTAAGGACCAACTTCTCCATGCTTCAGCCAACTAGCTGCTCTTTTATATAGAAAAATAATTCCCTAAGAAGTAAGTGCAGGTAGTTGCAGAAAATTGTATGTAGTATTTGCGAAGTAATCCCATTTAAAGTTCCCCGAGTTAAATTACAGGTGTGTGTACCTTATGCGTATGTGTTGGTAGAGTTGTGTAATCTGCATGGCAGTGGTACGTGCACTGAGTTTATACTGAAGTTTTGATGTTGCTGTACAGTTTCTTGCTTGCTCGTGAAGGAACTGTGGTGGTGGCACAGTTGGTTGGCCTCCAAGGATGGTGCTGAAGGGTGGGCTACCTCTCCCACCAGTAACTCATTCACTTAAACTGCTCAATTTAAGCCCTCTGATCTAAACACTGTAGTCTAAATCTTTTTCACTTCAGTTGTTTTCTCAAATGGGGGACATTCAACTCGTGAGGCCAAATTAAAACACAGTTTATTAAAAGAGTACTATATTAAGAATAGAAGACCGTGATGCCTAGAAGACAGTACCATGAATAACAGGCAAATTGTAAAGCAGAGGGCACAAATATATGAAGAAAGTATAAATACAAATAACTGATTTTAGCTTGATTTCTGTAATTTTGCATGTTTGCAAATACGCACTGACTCTCTGTTTAAATACAAGAAGTTTCCACTGCCTTTTGAACCAGTGCACTCATTTTGTCCCGTAACCACTTCAAAGTCCATTAAATACTGGCTCCAGGTTCACTGAGAAGAATTTAAAATGTTAGCATCCGCTCTCAGCTGGGAAACAAAACGAAAATCAAACCAATTGCTGCAATTAAAAATGAAAGTCACGTGCAATGAGGTTGCAATCGGGAACCAAAACTGGCGTGAACAGGCATTGCCACAGACTGGTAGGAACAGAGGTGTTCACACCTTGGACCCTTTTCCCTGCAGTGCAAGTGGAGAATCGAGTTTGCTTGTTAACACGAACAGCGAGACTCCCTAAAAGAGCAAGATGTTCTTGAAGACGGAAAAGTTTCGAACCTAGGGTAA